TGGGGGATGGGGGCTGTCGTGGGGGATGGGGGCTGTCGTGGGGGATGGGGGCTGTCGGGGGATGGGGGCTGTCGGGGGGATGGGGGCTGTCGGGGGGATGGGGGCTGTCGGGGGGATGGGGGCTGTCGTGGCGGATGGGGGCTGTCGTGGGGGATGGGGGCTGTCGTGGGGGATGGGGGCTGTCGTGGGGGATGGGGGCTGTCGTGGGGGATGGGGGCTGTCGTGGGGGATGGGGGCTGTCGTGGGGGATGGGGGCTGTCGTGGGGGATGGGGGCTGTCGTGGGGGATGGGGGCTGTCGTGAGGGATGGGGGCTGTCGTGGGGAATGGGGGCTGTCGTGGGGGATGGGGGCTGTCTTGGGGGATGGGGGCTGTCGTGGGGGATGGGGGCTGTCGTGGGAGATGGGGGCTGTCGTGGGGGATGGGGGCTGTCGTGGGGGATGGGGGCTGTCGTGGGGGATGGGGGCTGTCGTGGGGGATGGGGGCTGTCGGGGTTGATGGGTGTAAGGTGTTGGGGATTGATTTTGCTTATTAGGTCATCCCAGAGTACACCAAACAATGGGATGACCTAATAAGCAAAATCCAAGTCGACTACAGAAACCCGGGAAAGTTCTGGAAAAAAGTAAAGACCCTGACGGGAAGCTCTTCTGAGGAATCACCCTACATCATAGACGCCTCAAGGAATAAACTCTATGAGGAGAGAGAACAAGAGCAGGAATTCAGGAAGTTCTGGGAAAAAATATTCAGGATAAACCAGGAAGAAAATTAAAATTTTTGCCCAATTAATGAAAGGGAAATTACAACTCAAGTCGATAACAGAGCTGCAGCACTCCTCCCGACGCAAACAATAGACCTTAACAACATGCGCGATGACTGCCACCTTATGAAACACATAACCATTGCAGAGGTTCATAAAACAATTATGGGTTTCAAGAACAAGGCGCCGGGCAACAGCAAAATAAATAAGATGGTATTATCCAACCTACCAGTGATTGCACTCCATCAATACACATGTATCTTAAATGCAGCTCTTGCATCTGGACTATTCCCCACATACTTCAAGAATGCCACAATAAGATTAATCCCCAAGCCAGGTAAACCCCCAACCCAAACTGAAAACTACAGGCCAATTTCCCTCCTCGAAGTACCAGGTAAAATATTCGAAAAAATTATCAATCAGAGACTGGTGAAGTATATGGAAGAGGAAGGGAAGTATAACACCAGGCAGCATGGGTTTAGAAACCGCAGAGGGGCCAATACAGCTATAGCCCTGATCTACGAGCATATAGCCAATGCAGTGTCGAAAAAAGATCAGTGTAATATAGTGCTTAGGGACGTCTCGAAAGCCTTCGACAAAGTGTGGCACACAGGCCTAAAATATAAGATATCTGAACTAGGGCTTCCTGAGAGATTTACTGCTACTCTCTGCAGCTTTATAGACAATAGAACTGCTAAGCTTAATATCGGCAGCTACTTGGGAGACGTAATAGAACTGAAAAGTGGAGTACCACAAGGAAGCTGCCTCTCCCCCACTCTATTCAACATATATACAGCTGACCTACCCCAACCCCAACATGGAGAATACATCACATACGCTGATGATGTTACCCAAATAATATGCCAACCGGGCCCATCAAAGCCGCTACTAGCCGACAAGACCAAGGCAGCAATTGAACTCATAAACAACTTTGAGAAGCAATGGAAAATTAGCACCAACAAACAAAAGTTCCAAATAATACACATTGCGAAAAGAAACAAGGACCCCATCATCCTTGATAACCAGCCGATCCAATATGCGGAGGTAGGCAGAATACTGGGACTTATGATAAATAGAACAGGGATACAAATTCATGTAAGGGACCGACTAAACAAAGCCAAAGCAGCATTAGGAAAACTGAGAAGATTCCGAAGCCTCAGTACTAACATTCAGATCCACCTATATAAGGCTCTAGTTCGGCCGCATCTAGAATATCCCCCAGTACCACTACACACCATAAAGAAAACTAACATGCAGAAACTGCAAGCAGTACAAAATAAGGCACTAAGGAGAGCAGCAAAACACCGTCCACCATATGATCAGACAATCCAGGAGCTCCATGAACTCCTGAACATACAGCCACTGAACATACAGCCACTAAACATCAGACTGCAGCACCAAGCCATCAGGGTATGGAACACCATCGAAATGTTAGAGGACCCAATGTTTGAAAGATTACTCCAAGATGTGACACCCCGCCGACCAAGCACAGGTGGGACCGCAGGTGGCACCGGCACCGAACCCGACACCTGTGGCCCACCCCGACGAACGGAACCGCGCGCCCTGGTACGACCCCGCCGGGAAGGAACCCCCCGGTTCCCCCGGAGAACCAACAACTCAGACATAGGGCGGCAAGAGGAAGAAGCCGCCTGAATATAATGTTCTACAGCAGAAGCCTCAAAAAGCAGAGGACAAAAGGGAGAAGACAACCTAAGAACCAGGGCCAAAGAGGAAGCCAGGAACGCCTGATGACACGCGAAGCACGCAGCGAAAAACCGCAGCAACGCCTCCCGCAGGATAGGCGCAAAAAGCTTCAACATGGCAGACGACGCCCGAGCAGCTGAGACCAAGGCGTCATACCCTGGAACGGCCCCAAGCGCCTCAACATCCTCCGCAAACCAATCCGAAGATAGCTCCAGGAGGGAAAAGAAACACAGGACCGAAGCCAAAAAGCCACGAGCGCGCAAATCCTCCGCCACAAGAGCAGCCGACAGGGAAGGAACCTGCACATGGAGCTGCACCGCACCAACGTCCCGCAGAAGGGCAGGAGCAAAAAGACACTCATTAAGGTGCTCAAAATCGCCCCCCAGGGAAACCTGGACCACCGTCAACGCCTCACGCCACTCAAACGTGCGGGTTCGACAGAACGAGTCCCAAGCATCCAGCGAAAACAAGGGGCAGTCTGCAAGCCAGGACGACCCCGGAACCTCATAACGAACCCAGTAAGGACATGAAGATCCAAACCTGAAGGAAGAAGGATCCATTATGGAGGGGTACTCCGGGTCACGCAGGAGGGAAGCCGCCAAGGCCGACCGCACCTCAGACAGAGAGATGCGGGAAGCCGAAAACCTCTGAAAAGACGGAACCGAAGAACCCACAGGGACACGGAACCGAACCCGGGGAGGAGCAGAACCCAAGTCCAAATCGTATGCAGAGGGGGGAAAGGAAAACCCCACCCCTTGCAACAGTAAGCCCCGCTCAGAAGGACGGAAAATCCAGGCGGGGTCCAATGGAGCCCAAGGCCCCCAAGTCAGCTCCTCCCCAACCCCAGAAGCCTCCACACCAGGCCCCGGGGCCGAGCCGTCCTCCAAAGCCCAGGCCTCACAAGAAAAAGCCGGGGCAGCCAAAAGCTCCGGAAGAGAAGGGGCCCACTGGTCAGATCCCGGAGTATCGCCCGAATGCCTCCATAGACTCGAATGCCTCCGTAGCCCCCCCCAGACAGGGCAACCCCCGAAACTGCCCGAGTCTCAGAAACCGCTAAACCCCACCCCGAAGCCCTCAGACGCTTAGGGGCCGGAAGCAGGGGGGGGGGACAGAATGAACTACCGAAGGGGAAGAACAAGGGGGCGCGGACGGAACCAAGGCCGAAGCGACCAACACCCCCAAGTCTGGATCCCTATACACAAAGCGGGGCAGCCGCAGGGCGTCCGGGGAAGCAAGAACTCGCGCGCGTTGCAATAACCTAAACCTACCATGCAACGCATGAGCTGCCTGCACCCGAAGTAACTCATCAGCAGACTGGGTGAATTGAGTCACAAACAAGCAACACAGCTCGCAGGACTCAGGGTCGAATGTGTCACCGACCCAACAGGCAGCATGACGGAGGCAAAAACAATGAGAGTCACCCTGAGACAAGGGGACAGAGCAACCCTCAAACTCGCACACAGCGAGAGGGGACGCAAGGGTCTCCTCCATCGGACCCAAGAGCCCCCGCGGGGTTTCCCAGGGCCCCTAGACTGGGTCTGCTAAGGGTTATTCCAGGCAGGGCACTGCTAACCGGCGCCCCAAACTACCAAGTAATCTGCTAAAAGCTGAACCCATGAGACGTGTCCACTCGTGAGGGCGAAGCAGGGGGTGCCACCACACAAACGACCCTAATATAAAGGGAAGGAAAAACAAGGCAGACCCCCCCCACCAGGCAAAAAGAAAAAGAAAAGAAAAACCACCTAAGTGGACAACGTACCCAGAGGAAACAGAGCCGGCCACTGTTAGAGGTGAAAACTAGCTATGCAGTACCCTGCGCCCCACCAGTGCAATGACAGTGCAATGAATGGGCGGTCAAACGCCAAGCAGCGAAAAGCCAACAGAGGTAGACCCAAGGTGACTTGTGGAAGGCAACCCCAAGCCCCAAGGGCAGTACTTACAGGGCACTCAGGGAAGGGGACTCTAAGCACATGCAGCCCGAGTACCTGGGAATACTACTCCCAGATCACACGACCACCGTAAGAGCAGCACTGAAAACAAGTCACAGCACTGAAACAAGACTGGAGCTGGAGCCACACGACCATGAACTATCCCATCAACCGAGGAACTGGGGTGTGGATCACCGGCTCGGGGGTCTGGGGCTCCCCCTTCCCCCTCCCGGGGAGGGGGAAGCTGCGCAGACATGCGGCGCGGCTCGTGTGACGTCATGCTGGTTTGCTTGTTTTTCTTTTGGGGAGTTCTGTCCACTCGTTTGTCAATTTTGTTGTTAACCAGAATAGGGGTTTGTTTTGTGGCGCTTACCTTTCTGGGTGCCTGTCCCGGTCGATGGCAGATATGGAATGCTCCAAATCACATGTGCATTCTATGGGCCATTGCTTCCCGTGCCTCTGTGAGGGGGCCAGGTTCTGGCTCGTGGTCCCCGGTAGGCCTAGAACTCCACCCACATCGACTGGTGCAAAATAGTTAGGGTATCCATATCAGCCATGGATAGTTCTGGGGAGCCGCAGGGGCTCCCCCCAGAAAAAAAACGTAAATACTTACTGGAAACATGGAGAATACTCGTTTTAATTCTTCTTTTTTACTGTCAAACAGTTGAGGCATCACATAGATTAGTATAGACATGAGCTCAACCAAGTTATTCTGCAGAGGGGTACCAGTCAATAAGACACGACGCAGTGCCTGTATGAAGAAAGTAAACAAAGATTTTAGTACTCCAATACACATTTAATAAGCTGACATAGTGTAAAATATTTTATACACAATAATTGTCTCTAAAAGGATATAATTGTAAAATAATTTAATAAGAAAATTGCAGAGGAAATAAGGTCAAGACAAAAAAAAAATCCAGAGTTGAAGGTAATGAATCACCTATTTCTGGTACTGCCTCGGTGGCTCCCTGAAGCTAACTTGCCGAAGTAGCTCCTCTCTTACTCTCACATGAGTAACATCTACCTTGGGAGTCATGAATGGCCTCCCTAGCACCAGCAGCAGAACCCAGTCCAACAACAATTGGACCAGGGGGCAAGAGGTAAATGAATCCCACACCTCGACCAGTTCTGCCGAAAGGCATCCACCACGAAAGTCTCACAATCTGGGAATGGAGCCGTGTAAGAAGATAACCACCGATTCCACGCCAACGTGAAGAGCTTCACCTTGGGGCAACTGAACATCTCACAAACCCAATGAAAGTACACATCATTGACGGTCCACTCCTTGGAAATGTGACAGAAATGACACACCATCCATGGTGTGTCTTTTAAGGATTGGACATACCATGCATATGATTCACCCTGAGAACCAAGCAATGAGAATCCAAAAGCCTAGCATCTTGCAGAGGCCAGCCCCAAAGGGGGAAAGGACCAAAGTGACCCTCATAGTTCTGGGAATGAACCATTGGAGAGCAGTTGAAATGGAGTGAGAGGAAGACAAACCTTCTAAAGGGCCTGCTATACTGCCACAAAAAACATGCACCGTGCTGTGTGCCAAAAGGTACGAGCTCGCACAACGACTCTAGGAGACTTAGTGAGCACTGGTCATAAAACCCAACCTAATAAAGCCTAGGTGTCCACGAACAAAGTGATGGACAAAGAAACCACTAAATGAAACACTGAAATGCCTGAAGTGGAAGCTGGCAATGAACAAGTCACTAAAGTGCAAACAGGATCTGCACCCAATAGTCCCAACAGATGTAAAATGGGGATAAATAAATAACTAGTAGAGTGCCAGAGGTCAAAACCTGGCTCAAGGAAAGTACCATGCAGGCAAAGTTCAGCTCCTGCATTACCAATATACCAACCACTGAATCACCTGAGATTGGTCCAACACCAGAAAGCTATGGCACTTCATGAGAGTAAAGTGCTATCTTCATTCTTGGTTGTTTGTTTTCTTTTTTTGAGGGAGTTCTTCTGACATTTAGTGGGCTTTGATCTTGTGTTAAACCATGCAGTGGTTTGTTTTGATACACCTAGCGTTCTGGGTGCCTTCCCTGGTTGAGGGCAAAGCTGATAAACTTTAAATGTAAAGAGTTCATTGGCCATTGCTCCCTGCACCACTCTGAGGAGGCAGATTCTGGCTCATGGTTCACTGTAGGCAACAAGAACTCTGAGACTGATGACACTCAAGTGGTATTGCACTTAATCGGTAAGATAGTTTCAGAGAGCCAGTGGGGCTCCCCACAGAAAAATAAAAAAATTAACTGCACCTATCCTCGCCTGCACCATTATTATAATCATTAGTTAATGCCAACCCGTTAGGGTAAGATTATATTATATAAAATTACAATTAAGCTAGGTTTGTACTAAATGCTGCACAATCTAGTCATTTATTTATAATATTTTTGTGCAGACATAGGTGGACACAGGACACTTCCCGAACATGAACGGCACGGAGATGCAACTCTGAGAACCCCCATCAGAACAAGCATCAAATTTGTGGAAGCCAAGAGCGGGCTCAGACAAGGCATCCATAGTGCAACTGAGCTCATAAGGATTTTTCAGGGCCTGCAGGATAGGCCCTGCAGAAAGCCCAAGCACTGGGGTCCATTACGCCGGTAAACCCAGTCAGCGCAGGCAACCAAAGCACAAGGTACAGCAGAGGGGGGCAGCAAGGAGGATCTATCACACACACCCTAAGCACACCTAATAAGGCAAAAGGCAGAACCCCTAAGCACACCTAATAAGGCAAAAGTCAGAACCCCTAAGCAAAAATAATGAAAACAAGAAAAAGTCCTATTGCAGCGAACCACCAGTCTGGAAGAAACATCGGTGCGCCTTGTGTTAACTAGATAACTGGTCATGCAGACCGAAGTGCACCCCACCAGCCAAAAACACTCCTGACCCAAGGAGAGACAAAGTCACAGACCAATGGCTTACCTTAAGGGTGAGGACCACCACAAGTGAGGAAGGCCCTTAAGGGAGTTGACATTATAGTACTCTAGTACTATAATGTCAACTTCTTGTGGATTGGCAATTATTATTTCATTTACCTTTAGGTAAACTTTAGGTGGGGTAACTTCATTGAGCCAAGGGGGGCTTCCCACAGAAAATGCATTTTATTAAATTCAACACTTATGGGCAACCCCTCAAATATTTTCCTCTAAATGGTGCCTCATATGAGGAAACCTGCCAAAAAAAAATATATGAACAGGAAAAAAAAGAAAGTGCTGGACTAACTTAACCCCTTAACTGCGCAACGCACCTGCAGGCTCTCGACAGGGGATGCGCAACGCGCCTCCGGGTATTTTTATTTTTCACGTTCCATTCAAAACTGGCACGCGGTGACGTGGGTACGAAATGGATGCCTGGGGGCACCAGTGATCGTCCGCCATTTTGAAAAAAAAATCCCAGCATGCCCCGCGGCTGTGGGGAGCTTTGGTTTTGAAGCAGCAACCATGTCTGATGCATCGTCTATGAGCTCCCGCAGTCATGGAAAAACGACTCTCTGAGGAGGAGATACATGACATTTTGTATGATGACAGTGCCATGCATGATGATTTAGACTATGATCCAGAAAAAGACCTTACACAGAGGTCTGATATGAGTGAGGGAGAGACTGAGGTGAAGATGATGTGGCGAGTGTGTACGGTACACGCGACTCGCCCGGCCTGCCTCACCGCCCTGGGTCAACACCGTTATCACCACCACCACCATGTATGTCCCCAGACGCAAGTTTACTCAGTGACAGTACATGCGATGATTCTTTCTCGGGCTTCAGTGACATAGGCTCCGATACGAGTAGTGTGGACGACCCGAGTACGAGCAGCAAGGATGTTACCAGGTGGGATTTTGCTGCCTCAGCAACACGTCAGGGCAGGCGGTAGCATGTCTCGCAGCAACAGGACAATGACAACAGTGGCCCCTCTACATCAGGTGTTCGTGGTAGGCCTACGTTACGTAGATCTGCCTACCATACCCTCACGCAGCTCCAGCATCAGACGACGTAGCTGTGTTTTTGGTGCTCGCGGTAGTGTTGGCGCCAAAACCAAACCCCCGGGTGCACTTGCGTGGGAGGATTGAGCCACATTTGTTCCACAAATACCAATGTTTGATGCTATTGATGTTGGTTTTACACCATTATTCTCGTATACAGGTGATGATATGGCAGAAATGGAATATTTCCAGGCGTATTTCGACAATGAATTCATGACCCCGCCTTGTGACGCCTTGTGAAGAGACAAACAGGTATGCTCACAGCCTCATAGATACCGGCATTTTACCTGCCTCATGCGATGGAAAGACATGACAATTTACGAAATGTACGTGTTTCTCGCACTTAGCATGATGATGAAGCACTCCGAGAAAGCTGTCGTCCAGGATTATTGAAGCAAAGACAGCCTTGTTCCATCGCCCGTGTTCAATCGATATATGTCGTGTGATAGGTTCCTCTTGATTCTCAGGTGCCTGCATTTCAAGAATAATGCAAATGAGGACTGACATGACAGACTGTGGAAGGTACGGAAGGTGTTCAGTGACATGAGAGGGAAGTTCAGGGATTATTTTGTACCTGTACAGAATGTGGTAATCGACGAATTGTATGGTTCAAGGGGCGACTGGCATCCAAGAAGTACATCCCATCAAAGCGGCACCGTTTTGGACTGAAGTTTTTCGTGCTGTGCGACTATGAGACTGGTATCGTCTTGGACATGATTTTGTATTCTGGTACAGATGTCGACATACCAGCTCAGGATCCACACGGATTCTCCGGCAGTGTCGTAAAAACCCTGATGGAACCATTGTTGAACAAGGGGCATATACTGTTCACCAACAACTATTACACCAGCCCCATTGTTGACCAGGTACCTCGTTGCCCACAACACCGGCGTATGTGGCACTGAAGGCCCACGGGAAGGAAATGCCCGTGTTTGGCATTGGTATAGCAGTGGGTGACTGCCAGCTGCACAAGTGTGACAATATTCTGTCAGTGCGGTAGAAGGACAGGCGCTAAGTGAATATGCTGACTACGATTCATACCAGTGCCATGTTGGACAGTGGCAAAGTCTACTTTCAGACCCACTTCCCCGTTTATAAACCAGACTGTGCCATAGACTATAACGTGAACATGCGCCTCGTCAATAAATGTGATATGATGCTTGGTGCAGTGGAGTGCGTGCGCAAGTCTGTGAAGTGGTGAAGTGGACGAAAAAGTTCTTCTTCCACCTAATATATCTTGCAGTGCTTAACTGCTTCAATATGTACCTGGTAAAATCTGGCAGGAGACCGCCAATACGTACATTCAGTGCTTGTATTGTGTCGCAACTGTTAGTAAAGTATGGCAAGGAGGACTCTGTTGCACCGCACGGGGTGCAAGCAACAATGCCACACACAGCTCCAGACAGACTGAGGGGTAATGAGAATTTCGGAGTACACATGCTCGAGTATATGCCAGGCACAGCATCAAGGGATAAGGGTAAACATGCTTGTATGGTATGCAAGAACACTACCAGAAGAGAACAAAAGCGAAGATGCATCAGCACCTGGTGCGTGGAGTGCAAGGTGCCACTATGCCCCGTTAGCTGTTTCTCAGCATATCACACACTCGCGGAGTTCTGAGTGTGTTTATGGTGTGTGTATATAGTGTGTGAAACTGTATAGTGTGTATATAAATTGTAAATACAAATATATTAGCATGATACAATAGATATATGTGCAGGATATGTGAACACATTTATGATGTATGTAACACAGTGTTTTCAGAAAGTACGGGTGTTCTACTGCCATAATATAGTGTATGTGTTCATTATACATAGGACTGGCATGTAAAAATAAATAAAATGTATTTGGAACTGTGCTCAGAAAAATGACAAAAATATATTCATGGCAACCCGCACATCCTGCCCCGGGCGCCCTACTGGCCCCGGAATGACTACGTCACGCACGACCTTACAGACCCCCATTGCAGCCAAACTAAGTACAATTTCGACTTTTTGTTACTATACCCATACTCAGGGAAAGGTTTTTTGACACTTTAAAAAAAAAATCCAGATAATTTATTTCCTGCACATGGGGTGGAAGGGTGGGGGTGTTGCCGTATTTGGAAGCCGAGCAGCCCAGTGGTTAAGCCAGCAGAAAGAAGCCTTGAACACATGTGCCAAAGGAAGCAGAACCTTAAACCACAAACACAATTGACACAGTCCAGCTCAGCACACTAGCACCTAGGCTGTGCTAGTGAAGGAGCAGGACAGAGTGTAAAGACCCAAGATGAGAGTCAAACAACCCAGGTCCCAATGGAGGTACAGTCAGCCATGTGCTACCTCAACCCCTCAGGACCGACACTGAATGGATAACATATTGTGTTCGGATAAGTGGTTAGTCATTCCTGAAAAGCTCAGGGGGAAAACTGACAATTTTGTTAACAGAAATTCTCCATTAACTATAATCTTCAAGTTATTTAACTAGAAAAGGTGGTGATAGATGATGATAGTGTTGGGTTGACTGAAGTTGAGATTAATGGTGATGGGGTAACCCCAGCAGACTGCCTTTTACCATGTACTCTAATGTACCTAATACCATGGCAGAGTTGAAAGCTTCTGAACCATCCATTGGTATATGAACACTGCTTAAGTGGTGCTGTGTATAGTCACTGGGGCAAACTTTATTGCACATTTGTATTCAGATTGCCTGGCCCACCACTTATCCAAACTTTTTTATCCGAATAAACCCCAAACAGATAGCAGGCATTTTCGGATAACAGGTGTTCGTAGAGCACGTGACTGACTGACGCAGGAAAGGTACAAGGTTAAGTGGAGGTGTTTAATGAGACAAGTAAATGTGAATGTGTGTAATGTATACGACAATTCACAAAGACCTCTGTACACCTAGCCTTATGAAGTGGTAGATTGCTGCTCTGGACAACTGCTGGTCCTTGTTTGTCTATGATCATATAAATAATATTGTAAAAACAGATTCAAGACAATTTTGTAATCTTCCTTATTTAATACTGTATCTATAATCTTTTACTATACCACTCCATGAAAGAAGACAAACAGGATAATGATAATGTATTAAGAATGTAAATGTGTTCAAATATACACAAAGATGTGCTCTATCACAAACAGTAAAAACAAACTTACAAAATATACTGTACTTAACCATTAAATCTTAGTCTTACCTTGATTTTCATGAGGTTTTCATACCGTTGAGAAGCCATGTTCTTGAGCATGTGCGCCTCATCCAACACAACAGTGTGGAACCTCAGTTTTTTGAAGAGGGCTTTGTCCTCCGCACTGGTGCTCACCATGTTGTAACTGAAAAAAACAGGCATTGAATGTACAGTAATGAAACACCATTTTCTGAGCGAGACCCGGAGGCTTCCGGGAGCTTACTAGGCTGATATGCTAATGTCAGACTTTGGCATCAGTCATATGTATGGAGTTCTTATGGGCCTACCAGGGACCATGAGCCAGAACCTGGCCCCCCTCTAGAGAGGCATGGGGAGCAATGGCCTATAGAAACCCCCGTGTGGTTGGAAGCATTATATGTCTGCTATCGACCGGGTCAGGCACCCAGAAAGACAAGCATCCCAAAACAAACCCCTATTCTGGTGAAAATATTGCTACCAAAAGCCGAACAAGTGGATAGAACTCCCCTAAAAGAAATAAGCAAATGAGCATGGCATCACACGTCACTGCGCTGCTGTCTGTGCAGCTCCCCCTCCCCGGGAGGGGAAAGGGGGGAGCCCAAGACCCCTCGTGCTGGCTATCCACCCTTCAGTTCTGAGGCTGGATGTCAAAACACGCGAAAAAACGCTGACCGGAGTGAGGAAGGGATGCCGGGGAGCCTCCGGGTCTCACCCAGAAAATCCCATTTCATTATATTCAATGCTGGTTTTCTGGGGGGAAGCCCCTGTGGCTCCCCAGAGCTAACTACCCACAGAGGAAAGTAGAGGGACATACCTGGGAGGCGGTCACTGCTCACTCCTCAACTCTAAGTCGAGACAACTGGCTGCAACCGCCGACCCAAAGCAAGACAGGCCCGACTAGGCCCAGGAACAGTCATGAGATAACAAGCAGCCAGGATCCCGTTTGACCGCCAAAATCCCCACGCTGGAATGTCAGCCCAGGACATGTTGCCAAAGACAGCGACAAAAGCAGCAAACTTGCGAACGTCATGGGCACGGGGATAGACTGCAGGCTGGCTAGCCTGATTGCGGACAATCGGGGAGACCCGCACCCGCGAACAGGGAAAAAGGGAAACTAGAGCAACCCAAAGCGTGTCCCCGGACATAGAAGCCGTGGGGCGCAACCAGACACAAAACACGATGCACCCCCCGGCCCGACCAACCAAGCACCAACAACCAAAAGACCCCTCCGGAAAGCATGCAGTCTCATTCTCTGCCAGAAAAAAAGGAGACGGCTGCAGACGAACAAATCTATCGCCACGACCGAAGGAGCAGAAAACCCCCTGCGCCAGAGGAGAGCATGAAGCTCTCTGACCCAAACCCCAGAGCCAACATAAAAAAAAAAAAGAGACTCTGAGAAACAAACCTGAATCGAAGGGGCCACAACAAACCGTGAAGATGGAAAAGTGAACACCCTGCCAACGACCAGGACGGCTCAGGCGGCGTATGAGCAGGCCAGAGGAGAAACAACGCATGAGACAGCTTGCAAAACGGCACAGACATAAAATCAATAACGAAAGTAAGTCGAAGCGGCTCCGCCAGCGTCGCACAACACGAAGCGACAGTATGGGGCAAGATGACGGCCCCAAAGCCCCCACAAGAGAAGGACAAGATCACGCCAACAAACGCAGCTACCTAAGAAGGGACAGAAGGAAAAGGAATGACCGCCAAAAAAACCCACACGGCCGCCAAGAAGAAGCACACAGGTTAGACACCATCAACGAAGCCACGCGATCACCAACAGAAGGTGAGAGACTCGAGGCAGAACAGAACCAGCCCCACCATGGCCCAATGAAGTCTAGGAAGAGGCGGAGCCGCAGGAAGATCTCGGGTGCAACTACGGAGCTAGCAGAGCCGGAAACCCAAGCCGGCAAAGGATTAGATGGAACGTCTGCCATACAGAAAAACATCTCGATGCCAGCAAGCCCACCAGGAGATCAGAGACAATGGGTCTGATGCGAGACTCTAGAGAAGGGACACCGCGAGATCGTGAAAATGTCAACAGGCAGGGTAAGCCAGGAAAACAGGAACCCAAACCTGGCAATAGGAGAGCCAAAAGGCACAAAGAAAACACACAACAATGTGTAGGATAAAAATAGCGTAGAAGGAAGATGAGGAACAAAGAAGGCAAATACAAACGGGAATGAAAGGGACACGACCAACAACACAGAGAGCAGCTGGTCATGTCCCAACAAGCCACGACAATAACACAGAGGTTTTCAACACGTCCCAACACAAGTCTAAATGGATAAAAGGGTGCAAAGATATGCCACCAGACCAGTACCCGAACCAAGGAGTACGAGTTACGAGGATATGATCACCACATTCATGATCCGCAAAGGAAGTGATAGAGCAGAGAAAGACCAACTACGGGACCTCAGGGGCACACGCACCAAGGGACACCGGTGGAATGAGAGCCCAAATGAGCCACAGAGACGTTGGAAAGAAGTATTGCAGTGTCAGAGTAGGAGACGAATAGATGCATGAGAAAGCTGTGTGGTGGAGAACGACACCACACACAGCTGCAAATGTAGATATGATGGAGCCCAGCAGGCTCAGGAACCCGCACATTAGCGATAGACAGGTGAGAAGCGGGACCAAAAAGCCAGAACTCAACTCCCGCAAACACCACTAGGGAAATACAACTAGGTAAGGACTGTACAGAGAATCCAACGTATATGGAAGGGCCAAGCCAGGCACTGCAAGACAGGCAAGGAATGAGTAATCCTGATAAGACCACGAAACACAGGGCCGTGAACCTCTGTGCAACAATAACCCAGACGAACAAGGAAGGCACCAGGAAGAAGCACGGAAGGGCCAAACCAAATGCCACAACCAAACTCCAACACGCATCCACAGTAAGAAAACGGCGGCAAAACGTCTCCTCATAACATCCTGACACAGGAACATTTACACCATAACATATACACTGACGGATCACTCAATACAACTACAGGGAGAGCAGGAAGTGCTGTTATTGCTCATCAGCCCGATGGCAGCACATTTCAAAGAAATATCCGAATTAGTAACTGGGCATCCACAATGCAAGCCGAGTTGGTAGCGATACTGGTAGCACTCGAAATTATTGACAACACTGAAGTAGACAGCTTAATTATTTCTGACTCCCTTTCCTCACTACGAGCAATAAACAGTTTGCAATCAAGTAATAACGTGCTTGGCTTGGAAGCTAGACGTAGATATATAAGAATACTTAGCAAGAGGGTAAATATAAAAATGTTGTGGATTCCTTCTCACATTGGCATGCAGGAACATGACAAAGTTGACGCCCTTGCTAAGGCTGCAGTAAATAAAGACAGTATTGAACGGAATCTTGAGTTATCAAATAGGTCCCTTAAAAGTGTCATTAGACGAGAACTCCTGGATGAATTTGAAGAAAGTAGAACATGCAAACTGAAACTAGCAGGTCCATTGTTCATCACAATGAAATGTGTGAAGTAAAACATGTGTATGGGGCAAATAACAAACTCAGTAGACTAACAGATGTTGTCACAGCTTGTATAAGACTTGGCTACAAGTATCTCTGGCAGTTCGGCTTGTATAGGGATCTAGATGAAGTAAAGTGTAAAGTGTGTGGACAAAGACAGGGACACACACTCGAACACTATATCTTGGATTGTAGTAAAATTGAGCCTTTTAAAGATAAATCTAAGCTCACTCTGTATGATATGGCAACCTATCTTATTACCATGGATAAATTACCTGAAATCCTTGCACTGTACCCACATTTCGCTTCCAGTAGATGAACGACATATGAGATTCAGAAACAAGTAGTGAATTGTGAGGACTAATAACAAACAGAAGCTCCCTTATGACTCTGTAATATCCCCATTGGTCAAACTATTATGTATTAGCGATAAGACCAACCATTAATATATGATGACTTACTGTAAATATGTAGCTCTTGTAATAGCACTTTCTCTGTAACTAGCTGACATTGTAACTATAAGGTGTGAAGGATAGATGAAATTGTTTATGTAATAATCTAAGGTGAGGTCTGATAAAGACCTTTCGTGCCGTCTGTAATGCTTTGGCGCTACCGGTCACAGGATGAGTATGGGGTGCACAATAAACTAGCCACCTTCGGCGGCAACAATCAAATAACATACACATTCCTCCCCACTGTACCACATAACCTGGTGGAGGTGGGGCCCCTTGCTGAACTCAAACATGGGCTGGACATGCATAAGAGTGGGACTAGATGGGTATAATAGGAGCTGCCTCATATGGCCCAATAGGCCTATTGCAGTCACCTGTGTTCCGAAGTCCGTAAGTTCGTATCCAAAAACCACGAACCAGCACCTGGCCGAAAGAGACGCCAGACCCCATAAACTCACCTGCAGAACGTAGGCATGAACGTGTTACGACAACGTAGCCGAGAAAATGCCGGGAGCACCGCCAATGGAAGACGGCAAAGTCACACATGCAGGAGAAGAGTAAGGTATAAACGAAGGAGGAGCCCCCACACCCATACACAGGGAAAACCCAGCGTCCTCCCCATAGCGGCAATCCAGAACACACCAGGTAGCAACGGGGCAAGGACTGGAGAAGTGAGAGGAGCGAGAGACGAAGCACCCGAGAGAAAAGGACGTAGAACACCAGCACACGTGCACACCACCCACATCAAAACAAACTACCGTGTCCCATGCACAGCCGCAGGGATGCTAGATTTGGGTTGCTAGAAGTCGCAAGCGGAAGAAATAAAATCACGAATGTGACCATAAAACCAGACAAAATATTGTTGGTAACGATTCATTCCCTTTTTAGAGTACACAGGTCAGCTGTGAACAGCAGGTGAAAATAGTAGTAAGTAGCAAATTATACATAGCTCTTCATGCGGGCTATAAGGAGCCCAATCTGGCAACCCTGCAATGCAGGACAAGAGGGCTGAACAGCACAACCCGCTCAGTGGGAAGGTGCCAACAAGGAATATGGAAAGAAAAGGAGCAGTGCCGAGACAGAGCACGGAAAGAAGATACAATCACGAAAGAACGAAACAGGACCGAAACCCGAGAAGAAGCACGGAGGAGGACCAACAAGCACTAGAAAGGACCAGAGGGAAGCCACACCTGAAGACGGCAGACGTTCCAATAATTCGAGAAGAAGCAAAAACCTTCCGGAACCTTCAAGAATCTATAGAAGCAAGCGTAAAGCACAAAGGCACAGTCACACCCGAGACCAAAAGTCATGCAGAACCCCAGGCAACTAGACCAGTACTAAGGAAGGGAGCCCACTGGCAAACTCATACAAAACGGCTGCAGGAACAGGACCGAATGTCTCCAGCACTACCCCGGAAGGAAAAATCCCCGAAACCACCCGAGTCTCAAGACCATCGAAACCCCGCCCTGACCCAGAACCCACAAACGGTAAGGATCAGGATGCACGGAGTAAGGGGGGAACCAGACTAGACCACAACAGGGAAAAGACAAGGGGGCGCAGAAGGAAACAAAACCGAAGCGACCGAAACCCAGTCACACCAACCAAAAACGGGGCAGCCTCGGGGCATCCGGAAAGAAAACACCCTAGCGCATTGCCACCACCAAAACTCAACATGCAATGCCTGTGCTGCCTGCACCCGCATAGTCAGCAGAAGACTGGGTAATCGAGCCACAAACAAGCAACAAAACTCGCAGGGCTCCAGGTCGAAGGTGCCACTGACCCACAGGCAGCAGACGGAAGCAAAAACAGTGAGTCACCCTGAAACAACGGGACAGAGCATCCCTCGAACTCGCACAAAGCGAGGGAGCGACTCCGGGGTCACATCCATCGAACCCACATGTCCCCATGGGGATTCTCAGGTCCTGAAACGCAACTCACGCTCAGGGAGTATATTTTTTACAAGCGGAAAATATTAGAGGGGCTGGTCCCAAACCTGCACACAGAAATAACATCACACGAGACCAGAAGACATGGCAGGATGTGCAGAATACCCCATTGAAAAGTAGAGGTGCAACAGGTACTCTGAGAGAGAACTCTATCAACATCAGAGGCCCGAGACTGTTCAACACGCTTCTGCTACACATAAGGGGCATAACTGGCAAACCCCTCACAGTGTTCAAGAGAGAACTGGATAAGCACCTCCAAAGGATACCTGATCAACCAGGCTGTGACTCATATGTCAGGCTGCGAGCAGCCGTGTCCAACAGCCTGGTTGATCAGTCCAGCAACCAGGAGGCCTGGTCGACGACCAGGCCGCGGGGACGCTAAGCCCCGGAAGCACCTCAAGGTAACCTCAAGGTAAGGGATGCCAAGGCAGGGTTATCTTGAGGTTATCTTGAGATGATTTCGGGGCTTTTTAGTGTCCCCCGCAGTACGGTCCTCGACCAGGCCTTCACCCCCAGGAAGCAGCCCGTGACAGCTGACTGACACCCAGGTACCTATTTTACTGCTAGGTAACAGGGGCATAGGGTGAAAGAAACTCTGCCCATTGTTTCTCGCCGGCGCCCGGGATTGAACCCTGGACCACAGGATCACAAGTCCAGTGTGCTGTCCGCTAGGCTCCCTATGGGGAGCCGGTTAGCAGGGTACTGCTAACCGGCGCCCAAGTCTACTAAACAACTTTCTAAGAACTGAACCTCCGGGACGTGTACACTCATGGGGATCTAGCAGGAGGAACCACCGGAAGAAGGAAGAGTACTCAGTACACGGGGCCAAGAACCAAGGCAGACCCCCCTCCCATCAGGCAGACAAACAAAAAGAAAAAGAAAACCCCGCAAGAGAAAACAAGCTGCGCAGTACCCTGCGCCCCTACCAATGTAAACTGCCCTTTACCCTAAGGAGAACAAGGGAGACAGAACACCCTAGCACACAAAGGGCGGCTGAAAACCAAGCAGAAAACGGCCTAGCAGAGGCAGAACCGAAAGAACTTTTGGAAGGTGGCCCAAGCCCCAAGGGCAGTACTTACTGGGCATCAAGGGAAGGAAACCCTAGGCGCATACAGCCCGAGTACTGGAGAATCATTCCCAGCTCACGCACCACCTAGAAGACAGTCACCACACACTAGGTACAGTGCTGAAACACAAGGCAGCAGACGATCGAGCTGCTGAGCCCAAGGCACTGGACCCAGGAACGGCCTCAAGCGTCCCCACATCCTCCTCAAGCCAGTCCGATGACAGCTCCAGGAGGGAAAAGAAAAGCAAGGCGGAAGCCAAGAGGGCACAGGCGCACAAGTCCTCAGCAACCTGCGCAGCCAAAAGGGAGGGAACCTGCACATGGAGCTCCACTACGCCAACATCCCGGGGAAGGGCTGGGGGCAAACAAGTACTCATTGAAGTGCTCAAGGTTGCCCCCCAGGAAAACCTGAACCACCGTCTAAGCCTCGCGCCACTCAAGTGTGCGGGAATGACAGGAGGAATGCCAAGCCTCCAAAGCAAACACAGGACAGTCTAGATAGAAAGCTGTCACCCGAGGACCACATTAAAGACATTGTGGGAGGAGCCTATGCTACACTTTCTAACTTCAGAATTGGTTTTAAATACATGGATGGCGAAATGCTAAAAAAATTGTTCACGACTTTTGTAAGACTAAAGCTGGAATATGTAGTGGTTGTATGATACCCATACCTTATGAAGCACATCAACAAACTGGAAAAGGTGCAAAGACATGCCACTAAGTGGCTCCCAGAACTGAAGGACAAGAGCTATGAGGAGAGGTTAGAAGCATTAAATATGCAAAAACTAGAAGATAGAAGAAAAAGAGGCGATATAATCACTACATACAAAATAGTAACAAGCATCTATAAAATTGATAGAGAAGAATTCCTTTAGACCAGGAACTTCAAGAACAAGAGGTCATACATTTAAACTAATGAAACAAAGCTGCCGGAGAAATATAAGAAAATTCATTTTTGTAAACAGAGTGGTAGATGGTTGGAACAAGTAGGTGAGAAGGGGGTGGAGGCCAAAACTGTCAGTAATTTCAAAGTGTTATATGACAAAGAGTGCTGGGAAGATGGGACACCACGAGCGTAGCTCTCATCCTGTAACTACACTTGGGTAATTACACTAAGGTAATTACGCAGTTTCTGCCTCATTTTAAACTATATCAGTCAGTACAAGTTGGAGAATTAGCCGATATTGTGGCATGGCATCAGGTGTGCTGTTTTTCACTCCACTCCACTACTCTACTTTTAGACATACACCTTAATGTAGTACTGTACTTTAAAATAACTGTACTGATTACAGGTTTAAATCTACTACATCTTTTGTCTAATTGGATAGTGCATGTAAGCTATTACTATTCTAAAGCACTACTGGGTTAAGGAAGAAATATAGCTGTATCTTAAAGCCATTTCCAGTTTATTATTGTGAAGGCTTCACTTTACATGCACCAAGAATCTTATCATATCATGAATATAAAAGAGAAAACAGCAAAATCATACGTGGTGAGGATGACATCTGGTTCCTCCTCCAAATTATTGTTCATGATCGCACATCTAATGGCTCGTCGCTCATCCTGAGACCCGTGATACTGCAGAACCTCAAGAGAAGGGCACCATAACTCCAGCTCTCGAGCCCAGTTGTCTGAAATAATATCCTTATACAATAAACAAATTCATAATATATTAACAATATATTTAATGCTGTAATGTATTCTAATAAAAATGTCACATCACAAAATTTGTCACTTCATTAAATAAGAGTATTGGTATAAGGAACTTTCATTATTAAAATCACAAGTGGAGGAAAACGTATGAAAATCTATTTAATAAGATTTGAAGGAAAATAAACAATGAAGCCAAAAACACAGAAAGACAACACTATAAATGCGTGGTCATTATGAATTCTCGTCCTGGCCTTTACAGTGGACCCTCACTCTAATGAGGGTGTTGTAACAAATTCTTGGATAGTCCAAACTAATTGTATTCAATGTAAGATGTCAGTGGAATATACATTTGTTTGATTAAGTGAAGATTGTTCGTTCAAGCAGTTGCCAAGGTCAAATGTTGGGATGTAGTTGCATTAGCATTATCCATCATCCACGAGACCTATCAAAGGAACCCTGCAAACACACAACATAACGGTCCCCTATGATTCCCTTGTTACAACTTGCAATAAAGTTGTTACATCTTTTATAACATTTTTATTTGTATCTGTTTTACTACCTCCTTTGTGGAATGGTGCAGTCTTTGTTATTTTAAATGTGTCAGGGATAACACAAGTATCTAGGTTCCGACTCCAAATGATGTTCAGGGCCTGTGATTTTTTTTTGAGGGGGGGGGGGGATTCTTGTTGCATATAGAATTCCATGAAACTGGGCCTGATGCAGAGTACATGGTCATGCTGTCTACAACTACTTCTAAGTCCAGTGAGGTTAGGGTGACATCTGATATATGATTTAATCACAGTCATGAATAATTTGTTTGGATTATACACCTTCAATATATTCAAGGGTTCAATGTCAACATAATTGTACTGTATCCTCAGCATTTCACTTATTTCTTTGCTGTCATCTGTAAAAGTTCCATCTCCCTTGTGTAAAGGTTCAATGCTAGAAGGGACAGAAAAACTCGGAGAAGTCAAACTTTGGTGGTAATGATCTATGCTGTGTCAGAAAGGATGACCCTGGAATTAGGCCAAATTAGATGAAACATAAGGAAACAGGTTACTGTATCAGAAAACAAACAATTGTAAAGCAAAATAGCAAAAGTCCCATAAACAATGAACAAGGTCTAAATAGAGTGTTTGTCACTTGGCTTAAAAATCTGATCTCAACAGAAGATGATATGGAACCAGAGGGATGCGAAGGGGCTGGCTTGCCAAAGCCCAGAGAGGCTCGGCCCATCACCTGCTAGCAGGTAGGAAAGTTAATGAGGTATCATTGCAATTATTCTCAGAACTTTATTTGCTAGATAGCCAATTGTCAAACACTTTCCATCCCATTAAGGGGCAAGTTTGTATGAGATGGCACTTTCTGATGGTGGGCAGCACAGACTGTAACAGGCCACCAATTGGGTGTTTTGAAGCTTGACTTGTGGTCATTTGTAATACCATGTGAGGATTCAATTGAAATTTGAGTTTTTACAGCAGTACCTCTGATGGACATTTTGGACTGGACTGAGTTTTCAGTGCCTCCCTAGCATTTATACAACCCTGTGGGAACGTTTTAGAAGATTCCCATAGCACTGGTGCCTAAATATTGTCTTATCTGACTGTTCCCAATCTTCCCTGACACCAGACTCTTACCAAGGAAGCAATCAAATGCAACTACTCAGAAAAACTGGGCAATGTTTATGTGCTGAAGCTCATAAGAAAACCCCATAGCAAGTTAGTTAGGTACAGCTGTTAAAACAAAATGTAATTAACACACCTAGCACTAAGAACTTTCATATATAGAAGTTTTAATAATATTTCCAGGGTCAATTTGAACCCGATTTACTAATTGAAAAAAAAAGGTCATGGCTGGTTCATGCTAACAATGCTAAATGCAGCTTCCTAATTAATACCTTACCTAATGTAGATGATGGAACAATGATGAGACTAATTTCATCAGGATTTTCTGCTTCTTTAATGTGAGAAAGGAATGATATAGCCTGAACTGTCTTGCCAAGCCCCATCTCATCGGCCAAAACACCATTCAATCCTTGTTCATGCATTAGCACTAACCAGTTGAGGCCAATCAACTGGTAGCTTTTCAACTGCATCCTGTAAAAAAAGATAGTGAACTATATATAGTTTGAGTGTGTTAAGCCAGCCGTTTCCGAACTGAGAATTTGCCTCTGCCCAGAGGAAGTACCAATAATGGGCAATGCAGGTGCGGCTACATGATAGAAGAGTACACAAGAATCAAATGTAGGCAGTTGGTTGATTAAATAGAAATGTTCATATATAGTTTTGAGGTTGATGAGGTAACAGATGTCACCAGAAATGCTAATTTGATTGCTGAGCTAAGGTACATAGTACAAAAGTAGAAAATGAGTTAAAAGAAAATTCCTTATTTTGTAAACCCAATTTTTTTTCACCCAAAGGAAGCACTATAGTACTTACAACTAATTAAAAGAAAACTGCATCAAACTCCAAATGAAAAACAACGAATGAAAAATTCTCACCACCCACTTCATTAATTTTCCATAAAATATCTGACCATTTTTCCATAAAACTCGTCAATACCTGCAGCTTTCCAACGTAGTCACTTCCAGTGGTGTTTACAGTGCTTCTATGGATACACCCAAGATCCCGACAGGTGCTCTGCTACACCATCAAATACAATCACATGGGCTTATAAATATCTCGACAAGAAATACTGTATTATCCAAATTGCACAGTCCAGTCAACAGTGCATGTGTGTGCCCAAGGCACTCGGAGATACGGGTACAATCCCATTGTATGTCATCAATATTTTCTCATAGATATGTCATGTTCATTGTTCATTATGCATTTCATTGTGCATGTATATCTGGAGTGGGCTATGGGAGTTCTACTACTCCCCTGCCACTCTGTTTACAAAAGAAAACTATCTCATATTTTTTTGGCACCTTTGTTTTCTTAGCTTGAATTTTTGTCCACCAAGTGAGAAGGTGGTGGCGGCCAAAACCGTCAGTAGTTACAAAGCATTATATGACAGAGTACTGGGAAGACTAGACACCATGAGTGGAGCTTTCATCCTGTAATTACACTTAGGTACTGTAATTACACAAACACACATGTCTAAGTGAGCACACACAAAGACTCCTACAAAACTATTTAATAGTTTGAAGAACACAGTACATTCATAACTTTCATTACAACTCGTCTTTCAACTGTTTCAATACTTTACTGTTTTATCAAATTTGAATATCTTACTTTCGGTGCTGTCATCTTGTACCATATATAAACATAAATCAAATCTTTAGCCCCACTCCCTAGATTGGAAAATGCTAACTTCCCTTAAGATCTTCCTTAACTGTTAAGTATCATGCTCATTTTTATCTCTCTCCTAATTTTAACATACAAAAAATATAACAACAGATATAGAGATAAGTCTGCAAGATAATTTAATTCACAATTCCTGTTGTCGGGTAAAGGCATTAAGTACTTTCACTTACTGAGGACTCTCTAGGCCAATTACTGACCTCCCAAAGGATGCAACCAACAAAAATTGTCTAACTCCCAAGAATCTATTTTACTTATATTTTTTTGTACAAAGGTGGGTACAAGACCAGATGACTGCTGACTCTTGTTAGCAGGCTGAGAGCTTTCCCATTCCAGAGCTCATAGTTAGCCTTACCCACTAATTTCCCTGGAAAATGACCCGCCAATCATTTAAAAATCATGTACCCAATCACTGCTAGACAAACTGAAGGAATGGTCCAACAAATGGCTACTAAAGTTCAACCTAAGTAAATGTAAGGTAATCAAACTAGGCAGAGGAAATAGGAGGCAAGACACAGGATACCGAACGGTAGATGAAATCCTTCATGAAATGGACAGAGAGAAAGATCTAGGATTTGATATCACCACCAATGCTGTCGCCAGAAGCCAACATCAAAAGAATAATAATAACATCAGCAGCATATGCAAGGCTGGCTAACATCAGAACTACCTTCAGAAACCTGTGTAAGGAATCTTTCAGAACCTTGTATACCACATATGTACGGCCAATCCTGGAGTCTGCGGCCCCAGCATGGAGCCAGTACCTTGTCAAGCACATGACGAAGCTGGAAAAAGTTCAGAGGTATGCCACCAGGATAATCCCAGAACTAAGAGGCATGAGTTACGAGGAAAAGCTGCATGAACTGCACCTCACATTGCTGGAAGACAGGAGAGCTCGAGGAGATATGATCATCACATACAGAATTCTTAGGGGAATGGACAGGGTAGACCAGGATGGATTATTTAACATGGGGGGTACATGTACAAGGGAACACAGGTGGAAGTGTCAGAGTACGTAGTTAGTAAATAGAATGAACTGGAAGTGATGTGGTGGAGGACTCCATACACAGTTTCAAATGAAGATATGACAAAGCACGAGAAGCTCAGGAATCTGTACAAACAGTCTACCACTCTGTTTACAAAAGTGAATTTTCTTATATTTCTCCGGCAGCTTTGTTTCGTTAGTTTAAATCTAAGAACAAGAGGTCATAGATTTAAACTAACGAAACAAAGCTGCCGGAGATATATAAGAAAATTCACTTTTGTAAACAGAGTGGTAGACGGTTGGAACAAGTTAGGTGAGAAGGTGGTGGAGGCCAAAATCGTCAGTAATTTCAAAGCGTTATATGACAGAGTGCTGGGGAGATGGGACACCACGAGCGTAGCTCTCATCCTATAACTACACTTAGGTAATTACCAGTAGATTGATGGTTGAGAGGCAGGACCAAAGAGCTGAAGCTTAACCCCAGCAAGCACAAGTAGGTGAGTATAACTAGGTGAGTACTGCTGGGTAAACAGAGGTGTACAGGTAAGGACTGGCGCCTAGTCAATCCTTCCTGGCCAGGATATGACCTAGGTGAAATAGCTCACGAAGTTCTGGGTGAGTAGGCTGCCACTGTGTTACCGGAGACTCCAACTTCTTGGTGAACCAAGGAATCAGGTGAAGGAAATGCACCCAACCTTTTCTGCCCCAGCCTAGAGAATGAACCCGGCCCTTCAACTGTGAGCCGAGAACGTAAACCACTGTGCTACAGAACCCAATCATTATTTACCATTTCCATTTAGCTAAGATTAGCAGCCCTAATTTGTGGTAAGTACAGTAGGTATATTGAAGTGCCCACATCAGAATTTGCATTAACAGGCGGAAAAAAACCAGCGTTGAATGTAATGAAACGCCATTTTCTGGGTGAGTCCCGGAGGCTCCCCGGAGCTATCCCAGGCTGAGATGCTAATGTCAGACTTTGGCATCAGTCATGTGTATGGAGTTCTTAGGCCTACCGGGGACCACGGCCAGAACCGGGCCCCCTCAGAGAGGCAAGGGGAGCAATGGCCTATAGAAGCCCCCATGTAGTTGGAAGCATTCTATGTCTGCCATCGACCGGAACAGGCACCCAGAAAGGTAAGCGCCCCAAAACAAACCCCTATTCTGGTTAAAATTGCTACCTAAAACCGAACTAGTGGATAGAACTCCCCAACCGAAAACAAGCAAACTAGTGTGACGTCACACATTGCCGCGCCGCTGTCTGCGCAGCTCCCCCCTCCCCGGGAGGGGGAAGGGGGAGCCCCAGACCCCCGCGCCGGCTACCCGCACCTCAGTTCTTGAGGCTGGATGTCAAAAACGCGAAAAACCGCCGACCGGAGGGAGGGAGGGATGCCGGGGAGCCTCCGGGACTCACCCAGAAAATGGCGTTTCATTACATTCAACGCTGGTTTTCTGGGGGGAGCCCCGTCGGCTCCCCGGAGCTAACTACCCACAGACAGAAAAAGAGGGACTTACCCGGGAGGCGGTCGTCGCTCACCCCTCAACTCGAAGCCGAGACAACTGGCTGCAACCGCCGATCACAAAACATGATGCACCCCCGGCCAGACCAACCAAGCATCAACCACCCATGGACCCCTCCGGAACGCAGCAGTCTCATTCTTCGCCAGAAAAGAAGGAGACGGCTGCAAACGAACAAAACTATCACCACGACCAAAAGAGCAGAAACCCCTGCGCCGGAGGAGAGCATGAAGCTCCCCTACCCGACCCCCAGAGGCCAAAGAGAAACAAAAAAAGCGCCTTGGAAAAACAATCCTGGACCGAAGGGGCCACAACGAAACGAGGAGATGAAAGGAAAGCGAGCACTCTGTCCACAGACCAGGACGGCTCAGGCGACGCATGAGCAGGCCGGAGGTGAAACAATGCACGAGACAGCTTGCGAAACGGCGCAGACGTAACATCGATACCGAAACCAAGCTGAAGCGGCTCCGCCAGCGCCGCACGATACGAAGCGACAGTGTTAGGCATAAGATGACGGTCCTGAAACAACCACGAGAGGAAGGACAAGACCACCCGAACAGACAAGGAGCTAACACGACGAAGACGCAAAAAGAAACGGAAGGACCGCCAGGAAAACTGCATACTGCCGCCGAGAAGAAGCCCTCAGGTGGGACACCAACAAGGAGGCCACCTGATCACCATAGAGATGATGATAGACTCGAGTAAAAAAAAAACCATACGCGAAGACTCTAGGAGAAGATCGAACCAGCTACGTGACGTACCGGCCCGATCTGCTGAAAGAGGCGGAGCCGCGGGAAAAACCCTCGGGTTCGGACACCGAGCAACCAGCGCCTGAAACCAAGGCTGGGCCGGCCACCAAGGGGCCAGAAGGACAACTCTCCCCCGGTAAGTCTCTAAGCGAGTCAGGACCTGGAGCAACAGCCGAACCGGGGGAAAGAGATACAGGAACCCCCACCTCGTCCAGTCGAGCCGAAAGGCATCGACCCCGACGGCCTCGCAATCGGGGAAGGGCGCCGCATAAACGGGAAGACGCCGCGACCACGCCGACGCGAAGAGGTCCACCTCGGGGCGCCCGAACGTCTGGCAAAGCCAAAGGAAGGACTCGTCGTCGACCGTCCACTCCGTGGAGAGAGGAACGAAGCGAGACAGGGCGTCGGCCAAGACGTTGGACACGCCCCGTACGTGAACCGCCAGGAGAGCCAAACCCCGAGAACTCAGCAGACGAGTCACCCGAAGCGACCAACCCCAAAGAGACAAGGACCGCATCGAACCCCCGCGGTTCAGGCAATGAACC